CAGTCCGGTCATTGTATTGTCTGTCTGTGTTTTGCCTGCCTTACCTGTAATTAAACCCCGTTTTCCCCGATACCCTGACGTCTGCGCCTTTGTCTCCGTTCCGTCCGCGCTCAGCAGGACAATATTATTATAATTAAATGTAGGCCTATTAATGGTTTATTATTAATATTAAAATAATCAATAAGAAATCTTTATTTTTAAATGTATCTTATTATATAATAATAATTGCTGTTACTGTCTATAATTGTCTAAATGTATTTTTACTGTCTAAATAGGCCTATATGTATTCAGTTAGTGTAAACATGCACGATGCAAATTCGAGGCTTAGACTGAAGCGTTACCCTATGTTTCCTCTGAGACGTGCCACGTGACTAATTTCCCGGCGTGTACAAGTTGTCTTAGGTGGCGTTCACGGTTTGACTTCTGAGATTCAGATAGAGTTCTAGGTCATTTTTTTTCGAACTGGTTGGTTCGACTTTTAAGAAATTAAGAACTGTATTTTGGCATTAGTCTTGCAAATTGCATTTCATTTGTATCAGGTAGTTTTGGGCGATAAAACGATCTCGATTTTTTATCGATAAAAAATGAGGACGATCACGATGATACACACAGACTATAAAACTGATCAACCAAGTTTGCTCAGTTTTAGAGAATGCGCTGAGACAGACAACTCGATGCCTTTCGCCTATCGAGAAGAGGTTTACTGAACGCCAGCACAACAGCCAATCACCGACGACGTTGTAATTTTGCCCATCCTCCCTTAAAGAAGCAATGGGTCTACTCGACTTGGGTCTGTCTGCAGCTGATGTGACGTGGAGCGAGGTCTGCTGGTGGCTGCAGGGGTGGAGTATGAACTACTGCAGCCAAGTCGGACAACTTCTACGCCTCGTAGTCTGCGAGACTTGACTGCAATGGCAGCACTGCTAGATCTACTGGTCGATCACAAAGATAGTGTGGGTAGATCATATGGCATAAAAATAGAGGATGGATGACGCGTTCAACCGCGCCAGCTGCTGAAAAACTCCAGCAAGCGACCGAGTCGCCTAGCTAGCCTCCAATTTATTTCTAATAAACCCAAGAAAGGGTATAAAAATGAATTGGGGAGCTGGACCAAGTAAGAAGCCAAAAACCTACCACTTCCATACGGAAAGGGAGGAGGACTGTTTTTTTCAGCATATTATATTCGAAGTGCGTTTGCCTCATCTGTCAGTCTACCGTTGCTATTCCGAAGAAGGGAAATGTGGAGCGGCATTTTCGGGCTGTTCATAAAAGCTACATTAACTTCCCTCCGAAAAGCGAGCTGAGAAAGGTGAAGGAACTAAAATCCTAGTTCAATTAAAAAATGCTTTATTTATCCCAAAGGGAAATTAATAATAATAATAAATAATGCTCAATATATTTATAAATAAATATTTGTTTTGCATTTTTATAGAAGGTAGATCATTTTGACTTGGTCATTTTAAGTAGCTCGCAAGCTGAAAAAGTGTGGGCACCCCTAGTGTAGATAAAGCTGTACAAATATCACCTGCATGCACATTACTTCTTTTATAATAACCAACTCCTGATCCAAACTGTTAGCAGTGGAAAAAAAAATAAACTAACGTGTATAGTGGCCCTGTGTAAAAAGATTGCTGCCAGGAAAAAGATCAAATACGTGTATTTCAAGGATTCAAAGTTTTAATTGTCATGTACAGAGTACAATTCAATTCTTACTTGAATGCCTTCTTCACAGACTAGACGATTAAACAAATAAAGCAGCGCGACATTGCAGTAACTAACAATAAATAAACCACTAACTTACGTGTACTATTAGAGCATTTATTTAAACTGTACTTTACCAGGTAAATTAACTAAAAACCAGTTCTCACTGCTTCACGTGCTATTCGGGAAAAATAGCAGATTCCGGGGATACAAACGTCATGCGTATAACTAAATTCTTCAGCCAATAAGGGCAAAGTTTTGTCGTGACAGGCAGTTCCAGTTTGTGCAGCCGGCTGAGAGTGCTGTGCTGCACGGTCTGTCTTAAGTCATCTTGCTCTCACGAGGATTTTGTACCCTGTGACATGGTGAGGCGTGGTGACGTTTTGCAGCGCCGGACAAAAAATCTAACCATGATTTGGCATTTTTTTAATAAGTGTTGTTTGTTTGGTTTAGATACTTTTCAGAATTTTAAAAAGTGTTTAAGAGACCAAGAATAGAGGCAGATACTTGTTGCAGTCAGTTCTGTCCTGCTTTAGCTTATGTTTGCCCTTTAACATATTTGTAATATTATACTGTTTTGCACATTGTTACATTATTATATGGTTTTGTTCATTTGAGCTATGTTTCTTTGAATACTTGAAAATCAATAACCTTTTGTAATTTTAAGGGAATTTTGTAAACAGTAACTTTTGTTGGAAAATAAATATTTGTTTACTAATATTGTTTATTTCAATGTATTCATTCTATTTGTCAGAATAGGGTTATTTTCATTATTATTTTGATTATTACATGGAACAGCATTGTGAAGCTATAATATTTATAATTATCGATCTCGGTCAATTTTTTTTGCCATATCGCCCAGCTCTAGTATCAGGTGACAGTCACTCTGACAAATTCATCATGGTGGGCCTATATGGGCAAAAGTCAAGGGTTGGTTTTTAGTTTCAGTCCAGCCCTGATTTCAACTTCTCCCTGCTGTTTGCTGTCATTGTGGCATTGTACCAAGCAGGTCAGACCAGACATCACTTTGAAAAGCCATAGACTCTAGTTCCCAAGCCAACCGGGAGATATAATCCCTCAGGGTGTCTTGGAAATTTCCTAGAGCCCCTGCCCAGCAGGATGTGCCCAGAACAGCAATCGCCTCACCTTCTCTCAACACGAAGGAGCCGCATGTCTGATTTGATCAATGCAATACTATTCTATATATGTAAAATAGGGGGCTGTGTGAATCAGCAGGTTAGGAGGCTGTGTCTGTAATCAGAAGGTTATAAGTTCAAATCCCAGGGTGAGCAGAGCATTTCTGCTGTTGGTTGCTTGAGCAAGGGTGTCTGATCTCACTTTCAGAAAAATTAGATAAAATAAAAGTATCTCCTAAAATAATGTAAATATACTTAATATTTAAAAGATTTCAGTGACCACTAATTTTACCCAAATGACTGCATTGAAATTGTGATTTAGTAACTGAGATATTTAATAAAAAAAAGTATAATAAGAGCTAAAGGAAAAATAACATAACTAACACGTAAACTCTAACAAACCACGCAGGAAAATATCTGTTACATTTATGCTATACAGGAGGGATTCAAAGAAGAGTGCCTCTGGTTTTACGGTGGGCACCGCGGTAGTTGAGTCACTTCATCTGTTATCCGCACAGATATTTTGTATTTCTTATATGGTTCAATTTAGTGACATTTCAGCTGTAAGTGACCCTTAATGTAACTGTCACCACTTTATAATTGTAACAGTGTCGGTCGCGCGATAGAACCCCTTTAAAGGAGCCATCTAAACTTTAATGACTACTGTACGGAACGGATTATGCTGGGGCATTGGTTCTACTGGCCTTATTTACCACCAGTAGTGTTGTCAAATATGGCTTGTTATCTCACTCACCTTGGGGACACCATATGGGAAGGCTAATGTATGTAATAGAAATGTATGTATATTAAAATATCAGAAGCTACGGTGTGCAAGGCAGGGAGTAACCCGCGAGCCTGCACAGCGCAAGATTATATAGAAAATGTATGAATGGATATATACTAAAATACGTTTGAAAAATATTGATAAAGACAGTACACTTTGTGAGTAGACAAGCGCAAAGCAGTTTATTATACTGTCTTAGGCCCAATCCCAATTCTATTTTCTACCCCTTTGCCTACCCCTCACCCCTTCCCCCTTGAAATGAAGTGGAAAGGGGTAGGGTTAAAAAATTTCCCCTAAGAAATGGGACACCACTACTACACTGTTAAACGTCATCATCCATTGTCACTACCTCCTAACGTTACGTCAGAGGACATGCTCTGACGTTTATCACAAATTCCAAGATGTCGCCGTCAGCATCGTAGCATGTAAAGATTACTCACTCCCAAAGTTTTTTTGCGCCGTATTTGGACTTTAAAAACAGATGTTCGTTTTCACCTTGAAAACGTATGAGCCTTCGGGTTTCCTCAGCTGTCCCTATACAGAATATAATTTACAAAAATGTTGTCATGTTGCAATAAGTACGAATAGTGTAAGCACCGTTCATTTACATGTACACATATGGCCGTAAGCAAAACAAAACAACGCGTTACAACATGCAGTCAGTTACCGGGTAACGTTATATGACATAAAAATATATTTCCTAATCAGTGCTATCCGCAAGCAAACTTTAGCGATTTTTTTTCAAACGTTTCTTTACAGAACATCACCGTAAACACAAACACAAGATTGATGGTAATATACATGTAATGAAAAAATGTCATAAAAATCCTTATTAATGGCAAAAATTACTTAACATTTATGGGTCTGCATGCTCGAGTGGGCAGCCATGTTGTAAATTTCTCTTAGCCCTTCGTTTGAAGTGAGGTCACGAAAAATCTTCGTTTCGAGGGCTATCTAGCCCTTCCCCTTACCCCTACCCCTCCAATCAAAAGAGAATTGAGACACCCCTACCCCTACACGTGAACGCGCCAAACGGAGGGGTAGGGGTAAGTGTAGGGGTAAGGGGTAGAATTGGGATTGGGCCTTAAACGGACAAGATTTTAAGCCAAGCAGGTGAGATTAACATATTAACGTATCTTGTAAATATTAAATGAGGACAAGGGTAGCATGTCATGACTCCCACGAAAGTTTGAATTAAGTAAGGATTAGTATGGGGTTCCTGATGCTCGGAGAAACTGGCCATTTTCGCGTGCGCTTAATGATGATGTCCCGTTTTTCTACGGTTTACGGTAAATGCGTGCGCATTTTCTAAAAGTGAAAGCGGTCATAGAATTGTAACGAAGGGGGAGCAACATACCTAATGGGATCAAGGTACGGATGATAATATCATTTTATCCCTTACGCAACTTTACATTTTAATTTTTCCCTTTAATGCCAGCGTTTATATACTTAGTTTCTTTGGCTCCATGTGATGATTCTTTTATTACCTGAGATTGATCTTTTCGATGGTCGATGGTTATTATTCTCCTCCTTTATTACATTTTTTTTTTGCCAACAACGACTAGATGTCTATTATGGCGGGTAAAACATAACATAGCTATAGATAGTGGTGCTGAGCCCGATTCGGCAACCCTGCCGTGAAATGCAGCCCCTGTCGGAAGCGAGTGCAGCTGTTTTTCGTTCGAAGGGGCAAAAGAAGTAGTTCCGTCCTTCTAAAGTACTATAAAAATAAGAAATTGTCTTGGCACATTTTAAAGAAATATATCACAATAACCCATATGGTGATGATAAACTATATGATAAACGGTGAGCCCCGATCGAGAACATTTTATTTATATATTAGTCTAAGCTATAGTACTAAACTCAGTTTACTAGTCTATGAACAAGGCCTTGGCTTTCAGTACGAAAAAAACATTTGGTACCACTATCTATAGCTATGTTGTTTTTTTTTCTCCATAATTAAGAAAAATTTCTGGGATAATAATCTGAAATAGCGAAAAAAAAGATTTTTTTTTTATGTCAGCCTACCTGCTGGAAAATGCATTCATTTGATTCTCATTTGATTTTATAATGTAATGCCGTTTACAATCAAAACACTGAACGAACTACGTAGTTATTGAATATATTTCATAAACGCAATATCAGTGCAAACCGCAGGGTGGGCATTTTACGGCAAGTTACTTTTGTCGCTTTTAAAAAACTTGCTCAATAAAACCTGGAACACATCGGATGCGTGGCATGTGCGTGGCGGCTGCGGGAAGTGTTGATCTTCATTTCGGCGCCCGTAATAACAGACAGTGAAACCATGCGGCTCGCACCTCGCAGCAGCGGCGCCTATTTTTGGCACGTGAGTTAAGCGGTTCTGAGCAAAAATAGATGGTTACAAGATATTTTAATAGTCATATTCACATCATGACAAAAACATTACATAACTGACACCTTTCACTACTGTTTCAATGTATAGGCTATATATCATAGACATGAAAAAGTATAGCCTAAGCATTAATTATTTTAACATTTTTTCCAATTGCATGTTATTACATAGAGTCTGCGCCAACACGTTATCTGTATAATTACTGTCTATAGAAATATGTTTTCTGTGACCCTTAATCGTGCACATCTTTAACGTTTTGGCTACTATATACGTAAGTATATTCTACTTCAACGTAATATTACTGCAGCTTTACTAAAACGTTTTAACAAAATAAGCTTATGATTTCTTCCCCATCGTTTCTGGTAGTAATAATGTCATTTCTAACATTTAAACCAGCACTGGTTTACGTTTGTTGTGAGCGTTACTGGAACTTCACGTTTTTCAAAAGGACATTTTAAACCCTTTGCTAACCTTTACTACCCTTGTTTCTTTTGACAATTGCACAGGCTATAATAATTTTAAAATTTAAGTTAAGTTAACCAATTGAAGTTTAGCAGACATGTATATTCTTATTTACCCACTGCAGCTTACAGTCAGTTTAAAGTTTCCACTTTAGCCTTTTTGTACTTGTAGATGTTTATGAAAGCATTTTACTTTAAATGTGTGATGTGTTCAATGTGTTATATTAATTGCAAAACAATACCATGTCTTTTGTTCAGTTCAGGTAATGGAAATGTGTTAGTGTGATATGTTGAAGTTCAGTGTGAATAATTTAAATTCTCTCATTAGGTACAACTAAGAAATTGTCCAGAGGAAATCTGAGAACTGAACTAGAGCCAAGGGATCTGTTGAGTCCAGGGGAAAATGAATGAATGCTCATTGCAGATGACTTCTTGGTGCACTTTGTGCAACAAAAGACTTTGACAATGGAACATATCACTACTCCAAGGACTGTCAAATCAACAACATTTAAACAAGGATAAACACAACAACTGAAAAGTCGTCTAGACGTAAAAATGATTTGGCTCCTCTCCAAATTTTCTCTCCAAATTGTTCGACGGAAGGTCCAGACAAGCCGACACTCACGATGTTCCAGTCCTGTATGGCAGGGCTTTGTCCTCTGCCTTCTTACGTTTGCTGTTTTGCTGCCGTTGTCCTGCCACAGGTTGCTTTACTCGTATTACTTCATTAAGTCCTGGTACCTGAACTCCATGAGTGATGAGGCTCTGGAGGAGAGTTACAGGAGAGGGCAGGAAGCCTTGGAATTTTGGCAAGACCAGGGTTCCACTCTGCCGGCGGGATTTGTAAACAGCGACAATCAGGAGAAACCAGAGCTCTTGGTGACGGTGGTGACCACTCTGCGGTCCCAGGGTGGTGAGTACCACTATTTGCTGCAAGTAATGCAGCAGCTTGTGTCACTGGTAGCGGCTTGTCAAAGGCCAGGCTGCGTCCAGGTGCTAGTGTGCGATGTGGAAAGCAGTCCCCAGGAAAACGAGGATGCCAGACTGCTGGAAACAAAGGTCCAAGTTGTTCGAAGGTCCTTAGAAGAATTGGAGGATATAAGAAAATACCTGAACATATTCGAGAAGGAGAAAAGAGATTATGTTTTTTGCCTGAGGAAAGGGTGGAACTTAATCCAGCCAAAAAATGTTGTAGTCCTTGAGGATGACGCTTTGCCAACAGTGGACTTTTTTCCAGTGATAAATGATTTGCTGTCCCGTCGGTTCTCCTCACAGACGTTGTACGTTAAGTTGTATCATCCTGAGAGGCTACAGCGATACTGGAACCCAGAACCATACCGGATTTTGGAATGGGTGGGCTTGGGCCTGGTTGGGGCCACTGCTCTGTTGCTGTTCTTCAGTGCCTGTGCTGCTCTGTCATTCTCCTTCTCCACTGCCCATTTCCTCTTTCTCACTCTGTATGTCATGGCTGCCGTCGAGCTGTTGGGGAGACACTACCTCCTGGAAGCACGCCGCCTCTCCCCTCAGCTGTATGCCGTCTCCCCGGCAACTGAGTGCTGTACTCCGGCCATGCTGTTTCCTGGCAACGCTTCTCTCAGGGTTGCCGAGTACCTCGACCAAGTGTTCTGCTTCAGGGGCAATGCGAAGGACACGGTCCTTTACCACATCGTGAGATCGATAGGGGGAGAGAGGGCACACAGCCTGGAGCCCAATCTCATCACACACATCGGTGCTTTCTCCTCTGTCAGGACCAATCCATCCCATCCTCGCTTATTGTGAGGGGCTCTGGGTGCCAGTTAGAAGTGGGTAAACACAGCAATAGTGTTAAAACCAAACCAGCGCATCCGTGAAAGTTCCAGCAGTCTGCATGGTTTTTGGTAACACTTTCACTACACTGAATGTAAAAGGGTAGATATATTTAAGGTCAGTTCAAATGCAAATTATTATTATAGTGAAGATACTTCAGTCGATCCAAACACTGTGTCTTAAGCTGGGCATACACTGTATGATTTTTACAGTCATTTTGTAAACACCCAGCTCAAATTGTATGACTATATCGCATGCGATGAAAAGGCAAACCTCACGATTTATGTCCACACACTATACGGTCCGATACTCGGATGCGACCTGACTGCTCACACTACACCAGCAATATGAACACGTCGGACTGCTGTACCCGGAACTCTAAATGTCAAAAAAGAAGCAGCAGAAGAAGAACCTGCATCAGTGGCGATGCTCACCAAAGCGAAACGTGCTGCTTTGGCCATTTGTGCAATTTTGTGTGCAGAAAAATCCAAAAAGAGGCGCCGGCGTGTATGGACAGGAAGATGGCTGGGGAGATGTGGACAATACGGCCTGTCCATTTTTCAAGAACTGGAGGGAAGCAGCGACAGATAAATTACATTGCAGATAGCCTGATACCTACACAGAACTTGTAATGCAAACAATAACATGCCTGCTTGTTCTTGCTTGTTCAAACGTTCAGGCCAGTTATGTTGTGTTTATTTAAGTGCAATTTATCACAGTCCTTAAATCTCAATGTTGTGTTTAGTCTGTAGCACATAAGATCCCACCGCCAATCAATTTCAGACAACTGGTTATAATAACATTCAACACCTATACTGCCTTGCTGTATTAATATAAGTTTTGTGTAAATAGATTGATGATATGAAGGGTTTTCGGGACCTTCTTAGAATGTCTGTGGAGGACTTCAATTTCCTCCTGGACAGGGTAAGTCCACATGACATAATGAGGGATACCTACCTAAGAAAGGCGATCAGCCCCAAGGACAGGCTTTCTGTTACAATACGGTTTCTGGCAACAGGCAAGTTTGCGCACATTGGCTATCTAATTTCATTTCTGAGTACTTCAGTTCTGTGTTCGCACGTGCGCAGTGAGGACAACCCACTCAGGTTGAAGTTAGTCGGCTCGTGGCTCTACTTCCATAGTGCGATATCCCCACTACGGGCGACCAAAATTTCAAACAGGTTTGATTTTCTCACGATCATCCAATTGCCGGTTGGGACCTGGTCGGGAGGGGTGAATCGGTGCTCCTTACATCCTGTGCACTATACGATATACGACCCACAATCAAGCTGAAATTCAGCGCTACTCGCACAGTGTATGCCCAGCTTTAAGTAGTTTGAGCTATTATAGAAAAGTGCAAATGTAATAGTGCAATTATAAGTGCCTTGTAATGCAATCAAATCAGAAATCAATAGAAAAGTAAAACATAAAAATGTATGATAATTGCAAATCTAGGAAACTATATGTCAGATCATTAGCAGATCATTCAGTGACACAGATGCACTTTTTTGAATTTCGCAGATTAAGTGATCTATCACTATTTAGTCATTTTAGTAACACTTGTATACACTAGATGGTATATATCTGTTTTTGTTAATAGAAATGTAATTTCTGTTTGCATTAATATAACTTAATAATCAGTAGGATTTAAAATTTTTTAAACAATTGTTTCCACTGTAAAGGAGATTTACACTGAAAATCTGTTAAAATCATGTGTTACAATTCATTGAGTTGAAACAAGTTTGAAACAAGTAATTAAAATTGTTTTCTATTGACATTGTTTCTTGTAGTGATGCTACTTTTGGTATCAGCCGAAAGAATACTCAGCAAATGAGTTATATGTTTTTACACTTAATTAATTTTTTTGTATTTCTGCACAGTCGAAGGTGTAGCACAGCTCACATGTGGAAAAATTATGGGCAAAATTGTACATATCCACTGGTATTGTTAAGTGGACCTTTTAATTGGAATTGAAGTTCACTGACACACAAGCTGTCCTGATATTTCCCTTTTTATATTAAAAAAAGCCCATAATTTTCCGGGTCGTTCATATTCAAAAGTCTGTAGGACTGTAGTCTGAGTCTAAACAATGACCCTCATTTGAACCTGATCTGGAAAAGCTCTCATGGTAATTCTGCTATGGCACCTGGGGTGTCAGATGTATTCCTCAGAATAAAGTTACAGGGAATCGCAGTCACAAAGGGGAAACTGTCTGGGAATCAGGCACAAGAACCAGAGTGTATGCTTGCGTCACTGGAAAGTACAATGGCAAAGAGTGACCCATGTCGGCACTGCTGTAGGGCTTCAATGCACAACACTGGCAATAAGTTTCTTTCCAAAAGGCAGCGACACAGTGAATGTGTACGCTTGTAATGAAGCTGTAGATCGTAAAACTGCACCTCCCTGTGTCACCCTGGACCATTACACACTCCCATTACACATCACTTATTAACCTGAATATTTCTGCTACATTCCAATAACTTCACCTTTGTCTGTGCAGTGTTGGTGTTAAGCTAATCTCTCCATTCTCATCATAACATTGTCTACTGACATTCTCCCAGACAGGAAATCCCAAAATCGAATGTCTGCCATAGGGTACACATTTACTATACATTAGTCCATAACAAGGACAGTCAAAGGTAACATCTGGCTAAATCGCTTAGCATACCTAACAGTTACAGCCAGGCTAAAAATGAATTTTAATATAATGCTACAAACAGTACTGCATTGTGATGTCACAGTCTGTTGGGAAGCTGCTGTTCCCCAGTAGGGGGCAGTCATGTAACTGATTTCCTAACTATCAACCCCAAGAGTCAGGGAGACATGGCTGCCATCTTCCCTGGCAGGGCTTAATCCATGGTGGGTAGAAACCAGGAAGGAGGGAGGCTTGCGTGCTTCTGCTGGCGGACCTTAACAGGCCCCGCAGGCAGTGCTGGAGGACAACTGCCCTGAACATACACATCACCTCGTTACAGATTCCCGTTCATGTACAATCCCCTTATTCTCCACCCAAGGCTCCACAGTTGGATCCCATTTACTGTTAAGAGAGACACGCACTTCTCCAGTACAAGTTACCTCATGCTTAAAAACCAAGGTACCACATGGATTATTATACAGATACATTGTTGGGGTTATTATACTGCTATACCACATGGATTATTATACCAGTTCAAGTTGAAATGAGACCACATGATATGTATCTTCAGATGCTCCAATGGTCAAAACAAGGTAAATGCCTTGTTTTTAAGATTGATTATTTATTTATTATAAATGGTTTCATCTTCCATAACTGCACATTCAGTACAGGGTTACCAATGTGGTCGGAACATATCACATGCAGCACAGGGCACAAAGCTGGGACACCCAGGGTAGGATGCCAGTCAATCACAAGACATGCATTAGACAAGTTGGCAGTACAAGTTAACCAAAACTTTCTCAACTGCAGGGGGAAACTTGTGTGAACACGCAAAGCCCACAACCACACAGAGCCGGGGGCAGGGACTGAACACTCAACCCTAGAGGTATCAGGCTATGCTGCTCCCCACCGAGTCATCATACTGCAGTACCCTAAATTATCATCATTTAACAATTTGAGGGTATTCCTATAAATATGTGCATTTCTGATGGTGCTACATTTGTAGCCATGCCCACTCTCCAATCAACTCTGAGACAGAACACATTTAGTATGTTTCCCTCTCCTTATATTCATCTATGCAATTTCCGACCTCTTATCCTAATCAGGGTCATAGAGGGCGGAAGGCAGGAGTGAAGGATAGTGTGCTGGTCCATCGTAGGACCCACAGTTACAATCTAACTGCACATCTTGTGGAGGAAACAGCATTATTCGTGGAGAGCATGCAAACTCCACATGTAGGCATACACGCACACACGTTCACAAAGAAATTCACTCACACGCTGACAGAAATTCACTCACATACAGTACGCACACTTACAGCTTTATATGGTTGTAATGGCAAATCAATAGTTTCGCACTGTGAGGTTTATATCAGTTTGAAGACCATTTAAAATTTAAAAATGAAAACTATCTCATTGTACTCATCTTAGACGTCCTGTTTCCACGGTTGCCAATTTTAGTATGGCAGAAATAACCCAGCCAACTGAAAAGCCACGTGTTCATTATTTAAAATTTAATCTCTAAATTACACATATAAACATTTATATGAAATGATAAAATAATAAACTTCATGCGCAAAAGTGATTAACTCGTTAACCATCACATTAAGTAAGAATAAGCAGCTTCCTTCTTTTACGGATGTAGTTGCGAAGTCGCTGCTCTATATTATTTATAAACTGCATTTATACAACAGTTAGTTACTGTACGACCAAGAGGCCATCTGTGAGCGCGGTTATCAGAGTATAAATGCACTCGGACATTTCACATCAGCTGTATCAGTCCTCTTTATAGGTGTTCCTAAAAACCGTTACACATATATACCTCATGTACACCAACACGGAGCCGGTGATGGGCTGATTCTCGCTTGGTTGCCTTTTTAGAATATTTCCACCGGTTTCAAAATTTAACATAGACGGAAGTGAGAGCGAAGTATAGGTTCATATATATTCCCTTTTGTTGGATTTATTGTAATGTTTCGGATTTAACGTTTTATAAGCTGCCGAGCCAGAAAAAAACACTTTCAGAGTATGACTCCTTGCGCTCTATTTCTACTGCTTGTATCCACTTTTGTCTGTTAAAGGGTCCCCCGTTTGTGTGTAAGTGAGTTTATTCTTTATTCTCTCTCGTTGTTTTACCGCTGACCATTTATAGAATCACGCAAAAAAAAAAGAATCCGCTAATAATTGAACTTTGATGTCCGCCTCATGATCTCTTCGTTACTTTTGTACCTCTTCGTTACTCGAGCGCCACAATATTTTATTTATAAGACCTGCGGCATGGTTTTAATTTATAATGTACGTTATTCCGCTAATAAGCTGGCTAGTTGTTTCACTGCTGGCACCGGCGATATCACAGAAAACTATCGGTTATAGTGAATTTTCCGGGTATGCGGAAGGTTTGGAGCGATAGCCCGTCCCACATTCGCTTATGTTACGGGAACTTTTTTGTAGAGGCCCGTAAATGTTTAAATAAACAAAATATACTCTTATTACTGTTATCTTGTAAATGCTACTCGATGAACTGTTGTATAAAGGCGATAACATATACTCGGCCTGCGGCCTCGTGCCTACGAGCGAACCACAACTGTTGATAAACCTAACTCCTAGTATGTTATTGCTTAACTAACAATTAACGGGAGAGATTGCAATATTTTTTATACAGTTTAATAAAGTAAGAAAGATTATCTTACATTTTTACTGCGGTAATGTGGTTCTTGCATTTCTTATTCATAAAATATCTTTACGTCATAATCACACATGTATATTCTTTGTATAGTAAAGTTAAATCATGTACGTGGACGTGTGTTTTTTGACCGTCAGACCAGAGATCTCCGCACCACAGTATCCCTTAAGGAACTTTACTGGTCACGTGGTTCGCTCCGGACTCACTGCTGATCCTAGAAATGTTTCTTTTTTTCTGGTTCCTTTGCTGTTTCCGCCACATTTTTGTGTCACATGACGGTTTAAAGAAATAAATAAGTCAAATGATGATTTCTGTTACGAAGGCTCAGTATCCGATAATGCATCATGCTTAGCGCTGGAGTTTTGTGATTTTTTTGGCTTTAATTACATAACTCACTGGATAACTCGTACACTGGATCGCAGCCTGGAAAGCAAAAACTGCCATCCCATGCCAAAGTAAGGAATTTCCTTCGTGCTATTTAAAGGGAATGCAAGGATACGTTTCGACTTAAATTCTGAGAGGATAATAAGGATAATTAAAAGCCATGTCACATAGCAATAAGATCGAAATAGTAGCGGCGGATCAAAATGCTGTTAACGGGGGAACCTCGTCGGACCGGCAGAATGGCGAAAACAGAAACGTAAGTGTGTTTTTTTTTTCTTTTGCGCTTCACGTTTCTTTGATCACTGCAATCGCAGCTTTTTGGTGTCACTCTATCCCCAAAAAACTAATTCCTGAAAACATTTTTGATAGTTTGATGGTGTTGCTGTATTTTATGTTATTCCAAAACTATGTGTTTATACTTGACTCTTAAATACAAATAGAAGTAGGATATATGCTTCTGACGTTTGGTGAATGACAAGCTTGCTATATGTGTGCTTGTAGAGTTTATAATGAGTATACCTAGGCTACTGATGTCTGTAGTGTTTAAAATATGCCCCTTTTCCTGTTACTGCAATGAAATACTTGCCAAAACATGCATAAACACTTGGGGTGGAGGTAGATGGGTTCTTTTGTCTTTGAGGTTTTTGTATGGTTTTCATTTTATGGTTAATTGGTGTTTTTTTTTTTTTTTTTTTTTTTTTTGTTTTAGATTGTCCGAATAGTTTTCGCTTTGCCATTGTTCGAGCTCTGTTAAATACGCTACTCTCCGGATTGCTATAGAGACTCCGTTAGCCTAATATTTAAAATTCATTTTTCCGGCTGTAATATATTTTACACAAACCTGAAATCAGAAGTAAACGGGACACTGAGATTTGCAAGTTTATCTGGTTCGATCACAGAAAGTATTATAAATCACGTGGAAAATCAAGACCTAAAAAGACAGCAATATTGTATTTGGGCATTTGTAAATAGTATATGTACTGTTTAGCTTGCGAAAAAATCTTAGTTCATCATAAATCCAAAAAGAACTCCTGATTTGAAACGCAAGACTATATTTTGGTTTAGTATTCTACCAATGCATTTTCTCTCCGCTGTTCTGTTCTCCTTCTCCTAGGAAATAGTAACGCTTATTTCTATGCGTAGTTAACATTTCGCTTCATGCGTTTTTCAAGATACTGGTCCCCCAGAAAACGCTGATCTGGCAGCCTGCTGTGGGTTTCATGTGCCTCTGGACTTGGGAGGGGTGGCTCTGTTTCCTGCATGGCTGTCCATGCCCTCCTTCATGAGACGCTGCCTTGAGTCACACGTTACTCTTGGCCACTTTGCATAGTGTCACTTAAGATTCACAGCTGACAAGTTCTTTGAGCTGCAGACCTGTTTTTAGCTGTGGTTTAAACCAGGGGTCTCTGGAGAACTACTGTCCAGTAGGTTTTCTATTACCTGGCTTCTGATGAGACACACCTGTACCTGGTATTTACTTGAGAACAGTTGGAGACCCCTGGTTTAATCTAATGTCATGTTCAGGCAGATGGTTGATCATGGGTCAGGCCATAACTGGTGCATGCTTTTATCAAGTAATCTCAGTCAGGACTCACCCTTTCACTGGAACTATGGGTCAGATGGACGTGGAGCTAGGTCCGAATACACAGCTGAGAGCTGGACTCAACACCTGCGCTTCTTCAAAAGAGTGTTTCTTTCACAGTGCAGATTCATTAGTGGCGCCAACTGGATGAGCAGTGTGCTTTTGATATTGTACTGTCTCCAAGCTCAGACAAGTGCTGAAGTTTCACCACTTCCTCTTTTGTGGTTTTAAGAGAGAAACCACAAAGTAATAATGCACATCTTCCTCTCTCAAGGGCAGATGTGTGATCTCTACAGCAGCTGTGGTTTCTTTCCTGGGTTTACACTTAGGCCTGTGATCTTTCTCCATCCTGTTCCCCGTCGCCCTGTCAATGCAGATTGAGCTGGCCGCGGTGTACGTGTCTGATGCCCAGTACAACAGGAACATCTGCTTCAGTACCTCACCGCAAGGGATCAGGTAATGAGGCAACACTCATGAATGAAACCGGTGGTCCTTTCAGGAGTACAGTCACATGGCATGGTGATGTCATAAATAGATTCTTCTCTGATCCTTGGCATCGGCACATCGTGGCGCTACTCTCATGGGCAAGTTTGTTGTTTCTGGCACCCCCCGCCCCCTCAAAAAATCAGATATTTCAAAAACATAATAGCTTGCAAGTAGAGTCAAAAGATTGTTGCTAGCTAATTGGTTAACAGAACATGCAGCTTTGGCATCAGTGACCATTGACAAGAGATGTGGTTTAAGTGGTGGCAAACACGGCAGCTGCCTGCAGGCTCTTAATCAGTTCCCTTGCACAGCTAGCATGGCTGCATTATAACGTTTGTATCACAGAATAGTGTTAGAGGATGGATATTTCTCCTGTTCACCCCTGAGTTTCTGATGCAAATAAGGGACACTGCAGCTGGGACATCCAAGAGCAGCCTGCATGGGGTGGATGTTTTGGGATCAGCACAATTCAGAATATGGAAGTTAAGATGGACACTTCAGATGACGAGTAGCCGTATTTGCGATCATGTTCTATCAGCCTTACTCAGTTCTTGCCTGTTGTGCTTTGTAGGTTATACAAGTTCTACATCCACAGTTGCATGAGGATAATAATTCTCTTCTTCATCTTTGTGGACCTGGCCTTGGCTATATTTGAAGAACCGGCTATTTTCCCCTTCCCTTTATGGGTAAATACCGTTACCCCTTTACAACGTTATTATGGATCCAAAACAAAGGCACACTTGTTGCTATGCTTAATATCCTTGCTTTCTGTTGTCACTGTGCTGAGTTATGTTGATCTGTCTCATGTCTCTCTCTTACCCTCTCTCCCATGTTGTCTCTCTTATTTTTCAATAGTGCCATCTCCTTCTTGTCCTCCATGGGCTACTCTGCATGTTAGTTTAAATAATGGCAGATTAAATAAGGTTAATATCTAGCTCTCTCTCCAAAGGTTATTTTTTATGATTTTGGAAGACCATTTACTGTATTAAATTACAGTATCAAAACCACATCATGTCAGCTAAGACCATAAGGGACTTCTGAGTCTTTATCTATTTTACTTATCAGTGTAATTTTTCAACTCCACACAGTGAACATTTTATGCTGAAACTGCTGAGGATTTCTGGGTAATGGGGGAATGGCTTTGACATTTGAACTCATGTAATCATCATGGTTTTGGTTCCCAGGCCAACTTCGTGATTGAGGTCACCTGCCTTGTTGCTTTCACTGCACGGCTTATACATTATGCTAAAGTCATCCCTTGGTCCAACTTCTGGAAGGACCCCAAAAACATCTGCATCATCGTCGTCATCTTTGTAAGTCTTTGTGTTCTTTCCATTCTCAAAACACAATCACTGTATTTCTTTAGGTGTTTTTTTCCTGCCAGCCAAATTTGGGTGTTTTTCTGTCAACCATCTATCATATGTAAGATATTGGGATTTTTTGTTGTCTAGATTCTTCCCTGCTACGGAGCTTCTGAGTGACTAGTTAAGGTGACATGCACTTAACCTGCTTGACAGCATTCCACAGTTACCTTTGGACTGTGTGTTCCTCTGACAGCCATAAGCTATTCTGTGAATGATCTATGGCTTTTTTAAGGATATTTATGGATAGCATGGCACAACGTTTTTTTTTTTTTTTTTTAACCAAGTATAAATATCGGAATGTTTCAAATTTTGCAATGTAGATTTCATGCATGCTTCTGAACATATGATTTTTGGAATTTTCCAGCTTTTACAGTGTTGGCTGTATATTAAATTCCTACTCTTTAGACCAGCAAACATCTTTTTGCATTTATTTACTTTTTATGCACCAGAGGGATTCTGGGTAGATTCCTCTTAGCTCACAATATATACATGCCAGATAAATGATAAGTAGCCTAGTCATGTCATTTACTGTCTTGTGTTTGAACTGTGTAGCTGCCTGTCTTTGCGCTATAAAACTTGTTCTTCTCTGCTCCAGCTAACGTTGTTGGACATGATTATATATGGCATCCTGACAGAGATGCATCTCTACTGTGTCCGGTGGTCGAGGGTTCTGAGACCCTTGCTATTGGTGAACATCACAGAGAGCCGGCAGGTAATCACGGACGCGTCAGTCACCGGGAGGGGCAGCTATAAGCTGCGGAGTCACTGCTGGCGCGTGATCTGGCCTGTGAAGCATTAACCCTGTCGTGTCCTGTAGCTCCGCAGGGCCTTCCGGAGCATCAGGAACGCCCTGCCCCACGTCCTCTACGTTTTCTTCTTGTTTATGTTCAGTGTGCTCATGTTCTCCCTCATGGCCCTGAAGCTCTTTGGGAAGAGGCAAGTGCCGGCTCAGACGTGTCACCATTTTGAGGTCCATTATATTTTTACTCATTTCTCTGGCTGTTTTTTTTTCAAAGTTTCTTAATAGTTTGTGTCACACTTTAGGTTTTTTAAATTCATGCTTTGACCGTAAGTGTCACTCCTCTAATTCTCACTCAACAAAGCAGCAGCTTCTGCAAATGTCAGGTTTTCGTATGTGCATCTGAGGAATATCTGCCATGCTCGGGTGGTTCCTGTGAAGGAGGTATCCTCAGACACCGTTACACCTACAGGAACATTTACGACATCATATTCTAAATCCATAGGCAGCTATAATAGTTGCCACTCTTCTGGGAAGGCTTTGCACAAGATTTTGGAGTGTGTCTGTGGGAATTTTTGCCCATTCATCCAGAAGAGCATTTGTGAGGTCAGGCACTGATGTTGGGCATGAAAGCTTGGCTTGTAATCTTCGTTCTAGTTCATCCCAAAGGAGTCCATTGGGGTTGAGGTCAGGGCTCTGTGCGGGCCAGTCAAGTTCTTCCACACCAAACACATCCAACCATATCTTCATTAATCTTACTTTGGGCCCTGGGGCACAGTCATGCTGTAACGGAAAAGGGCCTTCCCCAAACTACTCACAAAGTTAGAAGCATAGAATTGTCCAAAATGTCTTGGTATACTAAAGCATTAAAATGTCCTCTCATGGGAACCAAGGGATCTAGCCTAACCCCTGAAAAACAACTCCATACCATTATCCCTTCTCCACCAAACTTTACAGTTGACACAATGCAATCATACTGGCATCTGCCAAATCCAGACTCCTTCATCAGACTGCTAGACAGAGAAGCATGATTTGTCACTCCACAGAACATGTTTCCACTGCTCCAGGGCCCAGTGGTGGTGTGCTTTATTCCACACCATCCAACACTTGGCACTGCGCTTGGTGAAGTGAAGGTTGCATGCAGCTGCTTGGCCATGGAAGCCTATTCCATGAATGGCCACAGTTTTGTGCTGGGGTTAATGCCAGAGGAAGGTTGGAACTCTGCAGTTATTGAGTCAACAGAGCATTGGCAACTTTTACGCACTATGTTTCTTAGTGACCCCCGCACTGCTGTTTTACGTGGCCTGCTAGTTCATGGCTGAGTTTCTGTTGTTCCTAAATGCTTCTACTTTTGCAGTGGAATATCTAGCAGGGAAGAAATTTCATGAACTGATTTATTGCAAAGGTGGCATCCTATGACAGTACCATACTTGAGCTTTTTGGAACAGCCCATTCTTTCACAAATGTTTGTAAACCTCACTACATGGCTAGGTGCTTGATTTTGGGTTCGAGTGAAACACCTGGATTCAGTGATTAAGACGTGTGTCCCAATACTTTTGTTCATATAGTGTATCTCTGAAAGACACATGCAAACCTATTACTATTTAATATTGTTGCGATTGTCAGCACGATGAGACATGCTTCATAAAAGTGCAGATGATGGTTAACAGTTAACACTTTTATTTAGCACAACTGCCAGAGAGAGAGAGTATCAGTAGCAACATGAACAGGGAAGGTCACCAGTATGCACACCACAATGGGGCATTATTATATCCAACACTAAATGAGAACACAGCACATTACCATGCACTGACGTTACTACATATCACGGACATTTATTTACACAAATATTTACACTATGTACAGTCTGCTGCAATGCATGCTGGTTTGCGAGTGATTAAGCCCCACAGCATCGCAATATTAATCACTTTTTTTGGTAACACTTTTCTTGAAGGGACACAAATAACTTGCTTATTTCTGAAGTACAAATCATGACCAAATATAGTTCCTGCATGAAATGCATGAATTATTATGATTGATTAATGCTGAATGAGCATAGGATCAGTACATAACTAGCACTTTCTGGTTAATTAATGCATTAAGTAAAAGTGTATTACTATGTTATCTGTGCCCCCTCAAGTAAAATGTCACCTATTCTTTTTGTACTGTTATAGAAAAAGTGTCTAGCTATTTTAGGTTTTATTTACTGTAGTTTCATTTTCTCCCTTCATTAAGAGGCCTTGTGACCAGTGAAGGACGTGCCTACTTCACAGACTACCTTGACATCGTCTTTGACCTCTACGTGCTGGTCACCACCGCTAACAGTCCTGATGTCATGTAGGTGGTGTTTTTACCCAATAATAACAATATGACTTCAGTGTTTTTTTTTTAGTTTATTATATGAACTGGAAATTACTATATATATCTGAATATTTGCCTCAGACATCCTAGGTCGGGGGTTTGCTCAGTGTCTGCATGTTATGTAGGTTTGGTGAATCGGTATCTCTACAATAGGCTGTGGTGTGCATGTGTAAGCCCTGTATTCCCCTTGCTTGTACCAAATCCTGTCTGGAAGAGGCTCTAAGCTTTGCTATGGTTCTGTACAGGAAGATGTGTGGATGTATCCAGTGCCAGAGTAGTTAATCAGGAGAATTCCTGGTTGTGCTGTGAATTCTGGCTGTGGGGGAAAATATTTGTATCGTCAGGGTCCCCCTGCTCAGCAAATTTTATTGCCTGGGGCTATGAGTGGGTGATGAAAATCAGGCATCAACTTATCATAATATATGATAAAAAAATATCCATCGTGGGCAGACATTACTTAATAGCACACATCAGCCTAACACCACAGAAACAAATGTAGTTCCAAGTAATCATTTGTTAGTCTTTTCTATGCCCAGCAAACGCACAGCAAGGTTGGTTGAGTCAGTGGAGCACACCACATATCACTGTTTTGGTAATATCATAGAAGTGGTAAGCGCTCCTTCAGAGGAAACTTCAAATGTCTGTAAAGAAAGCAGTAGCTCTGCAGCCACAACATCTTTTAAAAATGGGGATATTGTGGATAAACATGGTAAAACGACATTGGTGCTTTGGCAATTAAAAGTCCGAAACACAACAGACTTATTCTTTGTATTGTAAACTCTGCCGAAAATTTATGCCTACAGCTAGAAATACTGTAAACTTTCACCATCTGAAACACTGCCATCCAGTAGAACATGCAGAATTCAATTACAGTCACAGACACCAGAAATTCCACTTTCAATCTACAGAAATCTGGGACAATGGGACCCAGCATTTTAATTATCAGTACAGGATGGGTGCTAAGTTTACCGGCAATGTCAAACTCGTTCCATAGAACAAACACACTAACAAACTGTTTCATTTGTATGATTTTTTTTTTTTTTTTATTATATTTCAGTTTGCAGTCCATCCATTTTTTTTTTATTTTTAGCCTGGCCTGCCATATCCCCCCCGCCAACTTTGTGTGTGTGTGACAGTGACATTTCCTGGTTGAAATTCTGCCACACTCTGTCCCTGAGTGCATGGATAAGAACATAAGAACATAAGAACTATACAAACGAGAGGAGGCCATTCGGCCCATCGAGCTCGCTTGGGGAGAACTTAACTAATAGCTCAGAGTTGTTAAAATCTTATCTAGCTCTGATTTAAAGGAACCCAAGGATTCAGCTTGCACTACGTTATCAGGAAGACTATTCCATACTCTGACTACACGCTGTGTAAAGAAGTGCTTCCTTAAATCCAGTTTGAAATGTTCTCCCACTAATTTCCACCTATGGCCACGAGTTCTTGTATTTGAACTAATGCTGAAGTAACTATTCGGTTGAACAGCATCCAAACCTGTTAGAATCTTATAGACCTGAAATTCATACATACAGTGGTATGCAAAAGTTTGGGCACCCCTCAATAAAAATCATGTTTTGGTCATTTTTTAATTGAAAAAATGTAAACAGTCTCTGTAGGAAATGGGGGGAAAAATCCACAATATTTTCACCAAACATTGATGCATAGTTACTATTTATGTCATAAATTGAACAAAGATAAAAAATAAAAACATTATTATGGCACTGTGCAAAAATTTGGGCACCCTAAGAGTTCCAAAGTCTCAGATTCTTTTTATAAGGTTTCAGACCTTAATCAGCTCGTTAGATCTGATGCATGGCGACAGCTGTCATTAGTAAATGTCAGCTGGTGCCAATTTCAAAACTTTACAAATACTCTGACTCTTCAAACATTGTGCACACACTTGTGGACACTCAGCAACCATGGGTTCCTCTAAGCAGCTGTGTAAGACTCTGAAAATGAAAGTTATTGATGCCCACAATGCAGGACAAGGCTACAAGAAGATAGCAAAGCGTTGTCATCTTGCAGTTTCCACAGTGAGCAATGTAATTAAGAGATGGCAGTTCAGTGGAACTGTGGGGGTCAAGATGAGATCTGGAAGACCAAGACAATTCTTGGAGAGAACTGCTCGTATGCAGGTCAGAAAGACAAATCAAAACCCCCATTTGACTGCAAAAAAACCTGCAGGAACATTTAGCAGAGTCAGAAGTGGTGGTGCACCATTCCACAAGACCTTCACGGAAGAGTCAGCAGTCCCCATCATAAAATCCAACGTCAGAAGTATGCAACAGAACATCTACAGAAGCCTGATGCGTTTTGGAAACAAGTGCTGTGGACTGATGAAGCTAATATAGAACTAGAAGCAAACATCACACCATCTGTAAAAAAGCTGAAGCTGAAAAGAGGATGGCTTCTACAACAGGACAATGACCCTAAACAACCTCGAAATCCACCATGTACTGCCTCAAGAGATGCAAGCTGAAGGATTTGGAATGGCCATCACAGTCCCCTGATTTAAACATCATTGAAAATTTGTGAGTAGATCTTTAATGAGCTGTGCATGCAAGACGACCAAAGAATATTATAGAACTAGAAGCCTTTTGCAAGGAAAAATGGGAGAAAATCCCAAGTACAAGAATTGAAAAGACTTTTAGCTGGCTATAAAAAGCATTTGCAAGCTGTGATATCTGCCAGAGGAGGTGTTACTAAGTACTGATTATGTAGGGTGCCCAAACTTTTGCAGAGTGCCACAATAATGTTTTTATTTTCTATCTTTTTTCAATTTATGACATAAAAAGTAACTATGCAACAATGTTTGGTGAAAATATTGTGCATTTTTTCCATTTCCTACCGAGACATCTTTTCCATTAAAAAATGACCAAAATGTGTTATTTATTGATGGGTGCCCAAACTTTTGCATACCACTGTATATGTAAATGATTTAGCCTAAATAAACTCAGACATATTCAGTTTATTTTTATATAGTGCATTTCAGAAGTTGCCCCTAGGCGCTTTACATGGGTGTGTTGTGATGCATCAAATGTTACCAATGTGCTTCCAATGCTACCAATATTAACCCTTCCTGAAGCATTCCTAAAATTCTTTTTCTTCCTTATGAAGGATGCCAGCCTACAACTATGGCATCATGTTTTCCGTCTTCTTCATCATCTATATCGTCATAAATACCTACATCTTCATGTCCGTTTTCCTGGCTGTCGTCTACAACAACTACAAGAAGCACCTGAAGGTAAATCAACGATACGCCATGTGTTGGCATTCACCTGTACTTTTGGCTTGCATTGCTGTCAGACATACATAACAGAACAATCTACTTTGCAGTTAGGATGACAGCCCCCAGGGCTGCTGATCCCAGTGATACTTAGTGTCACTCAATATTGTTCTTTTTGAATCTAGTCACGCATTTTTGTCTTGGTGTCCATAACACTTTTATCCCTAATGACTCACAATTACAATCATTCCATGTAATTAACTACCTCTTAACTCAGTGGTGACTCTGTGATGCAATTTTAATTCTTGTAATCATCCGCAAAAACTCAAACAAATGAATTGTAGAGTACAATTCAAATTCCAAGCACCCAGAGAATTCACTGTTTGCCTGAAAATATCTATTTATTATTATCAGTGACACCCCCACCTGTATGCCAAATAAGACACTGCCTATTCTAGCAGTAGCACAGGATGGGAACAGTTGCCAAGTCCCGTTATAATAAGTGATTTTGGGCTTGATTTCTGTAAAATCACTAAGTCAATGGCAACCTCAGCCCACAGGTATCCTACACCCCACGAAAACCAACGTGTTTCTTTCAAAATGTGTTTACAGTTCTTGGGTGCTAGCCCTCTTTCACTGGATTCAGTGCTAGTAACTTAGATATTGATGATTTAATGAAGTTTTACTTTCCTATTGCCGCCTCAAATGTGTGCGGAAAGTGGCAAATACTGAATCCCCTGGCACGTCGGTATCAAATAATCATTAGTATTAAGACACTGATGCATTTGTGTAAGGAACTCCATTTATGTAGTAGGATGAATCATACAGAGTTGGAAGCCATTGACACTTTTTTTTTTTTAGGCTCGGGTTGCAGGCAGTGGTGGTTTACCGGCTGTTTGTGGTGGCTGTGTGCAGTGTTGTCTCCTGGTGTCTGTTGTGCCTTTTTGACTTAGTTCTTGAATTATTTCAAGTTTAAACCACTTCAGCCCCCTTGGGGGTCCCTTACCCTTCGGGGGGCCTCTGAGCCTTTCACTGCATGTCCGTCCCACCCCTGCAGGAGGAGGTGCGTCAGCTGGTGAGGGCTAAGCGACGCAACATGGTGCAGGCCTTCCGGTTGCTGCAGGAGCCGCGCGGTGATGAGCCCGTGGTGATGCGGGAGACGTGGAACCGACTGGTGCACGCGGTGCAGCCTGGCATCAGCGCTGTCCACCGTGAGCTCCTGTGGAATGTGTCTGACGAGCACAACAGAGGCTATATCGGTCAGTCTGGCCTTTTCCTGCTTTTAGCTGTTGAGTTCGTTAGCTCACCTCATTGCTTATCGGGGCTCTTGGTGCTGGAGGTGGAAGTTCTGCTTACAGCCTTGCCAAAGGCTTCCTGTTGCATTGTCAGGGCCAACATGCTCATTGTCGCTCCCATGTGGCGGGGCTCATTGTGCGGCATGGGGCATGGCAAGGAGAGCGCTGTCTTATAAGAGGCACAATGTCACAGTGGGCCTGCGTTCATAGTGGGGTACCGCAGGGTTCAATTTTAGGACCACTATTGTTCCTAATTTCCATTAATGATATTGACACCAATATCACCTAAAGGATTATTAGGAACACCTGTTCAATTTCTCATTAATGCAATTATCT